ATCTATACCTTCTTTTGATATTTCGGCTGATTCAGAATGGACCTGGATGATCCAGATTCATTTTAGTTGCTCAAGGCCAATCGAGCTCTATTGAATGGAATTTAATAACTGAATGCCTCTGATTTAACTGATATACTCGTCGCTCCCCCTACTTTGATTAAATTATTTCCTATTTTCATAATTAGCTTTTGTACCACAAAGTGGTCTTGCAAGTGTTATCTATTTGGCAGATATCCCAATGCTTTCTGAAACCCAAAAACGTCTTCTTTTCAGGTTTCGGCTGCCTCAAAATGGATCCAAACGATCCAGACTTCCTCTACTTGGGGGTGGATAAAAACAAGTTGCTGAAGGAGGCCGAGGCCAGTGGACTGGATTCGAAAAGTCTATGCTGGGTTGATGATGAAAAAGAGGGTTTCGTATTGGCAGACATCGTCGAAACCATTGGTGACAAGGTCTCGGTCAAGAAAAAGGATGGATCTGTAAGTCATGGCCTCGTTTTCAATAACCGTTCTCTTTCACGCAGGCTTAGGTCACAAATGTACTGGCCCCCACCGGGTTTATGGCCTCTATTTCAATCATTTTAATCATTTTATTCCTTCAAATAATTTTAATCTTTAGCCATTTTTAATCTCTAGATTACGATACTTTAGCAAATCCTTACTAACAAATTTAGTCAGTCTAGGTTTCATAAAGTGATGAAGTATTAATTGTTCAATTATTCAATAAGTCTAATCGTAGGCCTTACGATATGATGGAACTACACTTGGCATTAATTAAAAAAGGTATATTTATCAGGGCTGAACTGGTGGAAAGTTTCGACCTCGTTGAGTCTCATCCCCACCCTAACGAGAATCGAACGTGGGCCACAATTAAAAAGGTACCTGTGGGTCACAGCGCAAATGTGATATTCTCCGAACTCCTATTTTCACAGGTAAATTGTCCATTAAGCAATCAGGTATTTATCATTGCAATCGACGACGTTATCTATTTTTATTTTAAGTAGCAGACGAGACTATCAGTAATTTTTGTACAAATACTTAGTAACATTAGGTCCTTTAAAGCGGTTTATTAATCGTAAGGTACAATCATTTGATTGTGTGGACGAACTCAACTTTCAGTCCCTAAATCATATAAAGCGTCTAGAGTCAAGAATTTCTGATAGACTTAAAAACTATTATTATCGAAAATAAATACTGGCAGAAAAATATTTACTATATCGACACTCCCACTGCAAATGTAATTTGGGCGAGGCCCGATACGCACAACCCGTGTTCGAATCTCGTTAGGAGTAATTATGAGACCTAAACTTTAGTCCAGCCTCATTACAGAAATATTTTTGGTTGTAAGTCTAAGTTGACTTGATGAAGACATTTTGTATACTCATTCTGATGCGCCAAAAGTTTAACGTTCAATCTTTACTCCACTTAAATTCCTCTAGGCTGACTAAATTTCTTATCCGTTTTAGTTTAATCAGTCTCAAAAGTATTTAGCACCTCTCAGACTGGCAATAAAATTTTCAGCTAACAAATATGCTAATCATGTATGCAGACAGTTCCTCGGTTGAAATACACGCTACTATGGCGCTTGACTTATTCCTCTGGGAAAGGTTAGCTAATATTCAGCAGGGACTTATCATGTCAGCTGACCCAGGTTTTGGGGACCTAGAACCACGAAGGATTCAGCCGTCTTTATAATGTTCTTCTAACAGCCGAACTAGAAATTGGCCTCATTTCAGTAGGAAACTTTACTTCTACACACTACAAGGTTGCAGAATGGACTTTCACTTTGATGAGTCGTGGTGCGAATTCGTTTTCTGATCAAGGTCCGAATTCGTGTACGCTCTACTCCATTATTCGGCAGGTGATGATATAAACAACCGGAATACCTCTCGAGACGGTCGGAAGCAGTCATTAGGTCACATGTTTGGAGAAGTATCTCAGTGAAGAATGCTTTCAGAACTTTTTATGAGGATTCATCGAAGAGTTTTGCCTCAGATTCCTTCCATTGCAGGAATAAACTTGGTAAATTTATTTATCTTTTCAGGAATTAAAAATAGCAAAAGATGACGTTCAGCAGCTGAATCCTCCCAAGTTCTTTTTGATTGAAGATATGGCCAATTTAACCTTTCTCAACGATGCATCTGTCCTCGAGAATCTACGAGCCCGATACTACAGAAACCTGATTTACGTAAGTTGATTCAACTTTGATCAAAATTGAAAACGCTTATTTTGGTATCCTCAATAATTGTGCAAAAAATGTTGGGTCTCGAGAAATCTCTTGGTTCATAATTGTTGCGCTTACTTCCATTTCGAGTGAAAACGAATATTTACATGTACAGAAAGGAGAAACGTTTCATAGGAGAGGTAAGATTGACACCAAAACTGTTGGTTAGATATGTTGATTGACACATGACCACGTGGCAGTATGGTACGGATAGTTTAGATAATTGCTTGTTTCTAATTGACCAGATTGTTTGCAATGTTAAGTTGACAAAAGAGATATAGAATGACAATAATTTACCTTTTATGGATGCTTTATTTATCATAGCAGGCAAACCGTTAAGCATGGATGCATATGGCAAGCTAAACCACTCAGGATTTATCCTTAAGTTCTTCTTCAATCATAGTTACTAAACAAAGGTTGGCGTATTAAAATGTACGATCATAAGACTAGCCGATTGTGATGTAATGATTTGTAGTTCATTATCTTGAGATTAAACTGTGAATCTCTTCATCATGTACTTACATACGAAATGAAAGTCTTCATATCAATCTTATGTCAGAAGAGTCCTAGAAACCCGCATTTACTTCATTTAGTCTTTTCTGGTCTTGGTTTTAATAACGGTCACTTTTCTGTAATTTTTGGTCTATTCTTTATCTCTTACATGAAGACAAAAAGTTCATCAACATAACCAGACATATGTTCGACCTTGCGCAATCGGAGTAATGGTTGAAATATATACAGAGAGGGTGTGATGGGGGTCGGTATACCTTGATCACCGAGGACAGACGTAGGCAATCACTATATGAGATGTATAGCCTCTCTAAACTCTACTTATATACGGAAAAATGAGCCATCCCTGCTGGTTTCGTACATATTCGAACACATAAATGCATATACACACAAGCATAGACAGACACAATCGCATGATTCGAGGTTGATATATGGATTGAACTAACCAAATCGCTTTATACCTCATCAAGAAGCATAGAGTTATTATATATATATATATAGCATTTAGGGATGAGCTGGTGAGTTTTTTTAACTTGTATGCTTGAATATAGTTGCTATGATGATACCCTATTCGGATGATGTCAGTCATACGAAAGAGGGAAGCTTAGCACGTTTTCAGCCGAATCGAAGGAGATTGCCTTGGGGACAGCATCAACAAGAATTTTGCAGTTAGGCCAATCGACTGCTGGTCAAGAGGAATCCTCTATCGTCTTCTGGTGGGATTGACCTTTGAATCTCTTCACCATACACCTTCATTCAGAATGAGAGTAAGCTAAACAATTGATAATTCTGCTGCACAGCTCTCGGAAACAAGTTTTTAACGGGACTCTGTTGCATCAACCTTGCAGACTTTGGAGTTGGTTATACTGTAAGTTGACAACTCAGTCGTGGTACCAGGGAGATCTAGGCGAAAATGCCTCAATTAAAGTGTGTAAATATAAAATTCCAAGCTGATGTGGCCTTAAGATTGCTGACTGTCTGCTTTCGCTGTACAAAGTTGATTTTCCACGTTGGTCTTAGTGGTTATGAGCATTTGCAACATCTGACTTTTGACTTGGTACATTCCAAGATGCCTAATAAGTATGACATCCGACAGCTTCAGTTAGTAAAATCAGTCTTAGAATCAATAAAATATGTTAAGATGCTTTTCTGTCTTGCGTAGTGGCATTTCTCCCCTCACCCTTAGCCAACCTA